ATTGTTTGTAAACTGTTCTATATTTGTATATTTATGTATGTATTTTATGCATGTATGTATTTATGTATGTACGTATTTATAATTATGTATTTATGTATGTATGTTTGCCATTGTAAAACAAAGTGCCCTTCTGGGACAAATAAAAGTGTAATTTTTTTATTTATTTTTTTTTTATTTTTTAAATAAACACCCACACACATTCTTTTTCAAAATATTGCTTCAATATCTAGCTTAGGCAACGTCATTGTCAACAGAGTATTTTGTTTTGTTTGTTTAAGTAAAGAGAAGAACATTGACACGATAAGGGTCATTAGGGCTGGGAAAAAGTAAGACAGACAGACATAAACAGCAAAAGGAAAGTAAAGAAGTAGGACCTACCAGTGGCACCTTCCAACCATCCACTTGATAATAGTACGAGTGGTGTCAAGTTTGACAAAAATGACAGAAACATAATGCCATTGTGAACTGAAACCTAGAAAGATGAATACAAAGGCCGCTATCCTAGAAAAAAACAATGGGGCAAATGTTTTCATTGTCAGCCTTTGAGTAATAACTATACCAACTGATACACACACTAACATTATTTATACATACACACAGCCTTTGGGAAGTCCCATTATCAGGTTTTATACACTTACACACAGCTTCCAATCTCTCATTTCACATCATGTGTAACCTCCCAATCTCTCATTTCAGATTATTATGAGTCAACTTCCAATCTCTCATTTCAGATTATTATCAGTAAACTTCCAATCTCTCACTTCAGATCTTGTGTATACTTCCACTCTCTCATTTCACACTGCATGTAAACTTTTAATTTCAAATTTCACATTTTGTCTAAACTGACACCTACCTGGCCACTCGTCGCCCACCCATTTGTGTACGGCTTCCTGCACGAAACAAAACAAAAACAGATATTTTACTCGACAAATTACACTTCCCATGAACATAACTAGAGTACAATAACACAAACACATTTTTACTTTTAGTTTTACTAAGTTTTATGGCACTTACAACACAAATGGGTTATATAAGTGCCCCACATTAGAGGTGTTACAGGAGAGTAACAAACACAAAAAAGAAGGAGAGATAAGGACGACTGATGGTTGATAGGAAAGAAGGGCGAGAGATAAGGACAATAGATATATATTTGATAGGAAAGCCGAGACAACCCAAGGTAAGCTGAGACAAGCTAAGACACACCAAGACAAGCCGAGCAAAGCAGAGACAAATGGCGAAACACAGGAAACCCACCTGAAAACTGGGTGGCACTTCTGTTGTACATGTCGTCATCCTGCAGCCCCAGCCCACCACTTCTGAAGAAAAAAAACCCACAGAAATGTTCCAAGGTGTTTTGTAAGTATCGTACAGACAGAGCTCATCCACAGCCCCACAGCATACAACAGTAAAGATTAAAACTAAATCCCACCAAGTAAGTATTACCTGTCCTGGGCAACAACATCATTGCACACCGGACAGGTCCCCCCAGCACCAAAGCCCGCAAGGTATCCATACAGATGAAGTCCCACCAAGTAAGTCTATGGCGCTACAAAACCTTTTCAAAGTTACAAGTTCATAATGAATAGTTGAATTAAAAAACAACTTTAAAATGCACGGATCACTTTTGTAAAAATAAAGACCATTTGGAATTCACACATCATCTCACTGAAGACAAAACGGTTAAGGAGCAAATGTTGTGGGTGCATGAGAAGTCAGAGACTTGAGACTGGACAAAACATCAGCCAGGCAGATACCACATCACTTACTCCAACAAAAGGAAGCAGGTGTCAGTATCATTGGTGACACTGTAATCATCATATCACTAGCAACTTACTTTGTCCCAGTGACTGCTTTGATACCAGTGATATTGATGACAGCTCTGTTACCAATGATATTGATACCTGCTTTAGCAACACTAAACTAAACATCACGTATCAAGGAAAAAGTTGTCAAGTTCCCAGAGCCATGAATTTGGCATCAAAGATTTGTTTTTAAGGCCCACATGCTAGATAGATACAGTCTGCTCTGCAACTGCTGGGGTTTGTTTGTTTTTTTCAAAATTATAAAAATGAATGAAAAGTAATTTCTTTGTCAAAAATTACTAAATCTGGTTTATAAACCTTGGAAACATTCCCAACTCATAACACAGAACTGTCCCATCAGACACATGGACATGACACATGACACAAAGTTTACCTCTGGTCTCCGCCATCACCACGGCCTCTCTGTGGTTTGAAGCCTGCCACGGGGGAAGAGAAGAGAAAAGAATCGACTCAGAACCACACTTAACAAATGTAACCACAGACATAACCATAAAAAAACTGACATAACCACAAACAGAACAGACATAACCACAGACATTACCACAGAAATACCCCAAGCATAACAAACAGAACAGATATAACCACAAACATAACAGGCATACCACGGACATTTGTTTTTTCATAAGAGTTTTACGGCACTTGCAACACAGTAAGGTTACATAAGTGCCGAAGATTAGAGGTGTTACAAGAGAGTAACAAACACAAAAAAGGAGGGGAGATAATGACGATAGATGTTTGAAAGGAAAGAAGAAGCAAACCACACCAGAGCACCCGCCAACCACCCATGTAAGAGTATTACAGCACTTAAAACACAATAAGGTCATATAAGTGCCGAAGATTAGAGGTGTTACAAGGGAGTAACAAATACAAAAAAAGAAGTAGGGGAGATTAAGACGATGGATGTGAGATAGGAAAGAAGGAGCAAACCACATCAGAGCACCCGCCAACCACCCACTAACCACGGACATAACAGACATAACCACAAGCATAACAAACATAATAGATATAACCATACACACAACACACATAACCATAGACATAACAGACAGAACTACGAACATAACCACAGACATAACATAACAGACATAACCACAGACTTAATAGACATAATCACAGACTTAATAGATTTAACCACAGACATCGAACACATAAAAGAACATATATAAGAACAGACCTAAGACAAAGCACAGACATAAAAACAGACAGGATTAAGACATAGTACAGACAAAGAACAGACATTAAGACAGCTCACAAACTACCAACACACCTGTCTGTCCGACCAACTCACAAACTACCAACACACCTGTCTGTCTGACCAACTCATAAACTACCAACACACCTGTCTGTCTGACCAACTCACAAACTACCAACACACCTGTCTGTCTGACCAACTCACAAACTACCAACACACCTGTCTGTCTGACCAACTCTCAAACTACCAACACACCTGTCTGTCTCAGAGTTGCAAGTACAAAGAACAGTCCTCCACCAGAAACTAGGCTGAACTCAAACTATCTTTCCTTTAAGTCTCACTAAAAGTTTACTGCACTTATTTAACAAAATGTTCCAGTTTAAGTTTTAGTAAGTGTTTTACGGCACTTGCAACACAATAAGGTCATGTAAGTGCCGAAGATTAGAGGTGTTACAAGAGAGTAACAAACACAAAAAAGAAGGAGGGGAGATAAGGATGATAGATGTTTGATAGGAAAGAAGAAGCAAACCACACAAGAGCATCCGCCAACCACCCACAGATTAGAAATGTTAATACTAGAGAATAACATACACAGAAAAAAAGGGAGGAGAGATAAGGACGATAGATATGTGATAGGACAGAAGGAGCAAAGCAAGCCAGAGAACCTATCAGCCAACCACTCACTTAAACTGTCTTCAGCAGTGACAACAGAGAGTGCATTGAGAGAATCAGACATGTAAAGCAACACGCAAGCAGCAAAACTAGAGAAAACTTCAGTGCAAAGTTTAGGTTTGAACTTACCTCTGCCAACCTGCATTGTTTCCAGCAATGAGGGCTCACTGAAACATAAACACAGTCAAATTATATAATTATATTAATAATAATAATAATAATAATAATAATAATAAAATAATAATAGTAATAATAATTTGCATAGCGCAAATTCTCGCTTAAAAGTAAGCTCTATGCGCTTTACAATCTTTATTTTACTGCCAGATATGTAAAAAAATCTGTTAAACTCTTCAATCATACACCCTTCGGGAATCCCTACTGACATGCAGTAGGTTAAAAAATAACTAGATATGTAAATATCAGTTGGACTCTTCAATCAATCACCCTTCAGGATTTGGGAGAGAGAGAGAGAGAAAACAATCAATGAGGAGGAAGAACCTTTCCCTTATATAAGTACCTCACATCTCTTGCCGGGGGAACCTCTCCTGCCTGCTCCTCTTGCGACATGACCTTGGGCTCCTGATGTGACGAAAGTCGAGCCAACAACTCATCTGCTGTCTTCGTCCAGTCGCCGGGCAGTGACTTGGCTGCTTTCACGGCCGCCTGCTCTAGCTCTTGGCTCACTTTGACCCCCGCCCTGGAACAACCAATCACAATCAAGATTGAAAATTTCCTTTTTTTAAAAATATTTACAAGAAATAACAGATTACTGAAGATACCACACTAAAGTATAAAAATAGTGAGGAGGAGGAGGAGG